TCCTTTTTAGGAATATTTTATGCAAAACAAGTGTGCAAAGATGGAAATAAGAGGGGGTATTTTTAAAAAATTCATTCTAATTAGTCGTACATGATATCAGAATGCATTTTGGCACATTGTACGTAAATAGAGTATAACTTTTCTTCTGGTTGTACATTATGTAGTCATATATGCACATAGGGTAATAATGTCTGATTTATTCCACTCTCCTTCCTACCTCCATAGCCCCTCCCCTCCTTTCACTCCCCCACTGTCTAATCCAGAGTACCTCTATTTTTCCCTAGCACCACACCACCATTATGAATTGGCATCTGCATATCAGAGAAAAAATTAGGTAGGCCTTTGGTTTGGGGATTGCCAGCTCCACCCATGTACCTTCAAATATCAAAATTTCATTCTTTTTCAAGGTTGAGTAATATTGCATTGTGTAGATATACTACATTTTCTTTATCCATTCATCTGTTAAAGGCCATCTAGTTTGGTCCCGTAGTTTGGCTATTGTGAATTGAGCTGCTATCAACATTGATGTGGCAACATCACTGTAGTATGCTGATTTTAAGTACTTTGGATAAAAATGAGGAGTGCGATAACTGGGTCAAATGGTAGTTCCATTCCAAGTTTTCTGAGGAATCTCCATACTGCTTTCCATTTGGTTGTACCAATTTGCAGTCCCACCAACAATTTAAGAGTGTGCCTTTTCCCGCACATCCTTGGCAACATTTATTGTTGCTTGTATTCTTGATAATTGCCATTCTGACTGGAGTTAAATGAAATCTTGGAAGCACATTCACAATCCATGAGTTGTAATCAGGAGAGCTCAGACTTTTTTATTTTATCTTTATGTGGTGCGGAGGATCAAACCCAGCGCCCTGCGCATGCCAGGCGAGCGCGCTACTGCTTGAGCCACAAGCCCAGCCCATTAGATGAAATCTTAATAGAATAGTTTTGATTTTTGTCTCTCCAATTGGTAGTGATATTTTTAATTTTATAAAGAAATATGAATGCAGTAATCCCTCCTTATTCTCAAGGTGATATATTCCAAGACACTCAGTGGATGCTTGAAACCAAGAATAGTACTGAAATACATATGTACAATGTGTTTTCCTTATACACACATACCTGTCTATGATAAGGTTTAACTTATTAATTAGACATAGTAAGATATTAAAAATAATTAATTAGTAAAATAGAACAATTACTGCATTAAATAAAATAGGGGTTACTTAAATATCAAGCACCAGAATATCATGACAATTGATCTAAAAACTAAGGCAGCCACCAAGTAATTAACGGGCAGGTATCCTATACAGTGTGAGCATGCTGGACAAAGGGACAATGTTTCCTATCCTGAAGGAGATGGAACAAAGCTTTCATCATGCTACTCAAAATGGTACACAGTTTGAAACCAATTAACTACTTATTTCTATAATTTTCCTTTCAATATTTTTGGACCAGGGTTGACTGGGAGTAACTGAAACTTTAGAAATTGAAATTGCAGAAAAGTGGGGACCACTATAACTGATATTTATTGAGAGGTTATTTTATACCACTGTTCTAAACTTTTTCCAAGCACTTCCTTAATGATCACAAAAATTCCTCAAGATACTACTACTGTTATCGTGATTTATGTTTTCAGTTTAGGAAAATAAGATTTAACATGTTAGCAATTTATGCAGGATAAATATGAATCAGGGTCTCATTCTTGAGTCTGTCAGCTCTAGATCCTGGAAAGTCAGCCCCTAGGACCCCACTCACTCACTTGTCCCGTGTCTTTTTTCTTTTGGGGATTGAATCCAGAGGTGTTTTTGCAACTGAACTACATCTCCAGTCCTTTTTATTTTTTGAGACAGTTTCTCCCTAAGTTACTCATGCTGGCCTCCAACTTGTGATCCCCCTTCAACAGCCTCCCCAGTAGCTGGAATTACACACATATCACCATGTCTGGCCTTCTCACATCTAATAAATATAAGATTCAGGATATGACTCTGAGTCCTTCAGCTCTCCATCCTGAAGAGTTGGCCCCTAAGATCCATGTACTTTTCCCACTAATATAAGTGGAAACTGAAAATCATCCAAATGTTCAGCGATAGAGGCACACATTGTGAACATCATTAGAAATCACATGACAGAAAAAACGTATATCACTGTTGAAAAGGGACTCAGTAATTATATAATGAGAACCTGAACTTGCAAAAAGAGTTTTGGTGTGAGACATTTTGGTTGAATTCTAAGAATCTCACTTTCAAGTCCCTTTCACTTAAGGTGAAAACAGTTTCATTCTGTGTCCAAACTTTGAAATAAGCTGAGTCACTTCAAATAAAAAAATTAATTTTGAAAGCTATAAGACACTAAGAATTGTGAACCAGAAGTTTTACCACATGGCTCTGATATTTTAGCTGAGGAGTGGAACCGTACACAGCCCTTAGTTTATGAAGTGCAAAGATGCAATGTAAATTCAAACTGTCAATGTGGGTTTTCTCATGCTGTTAGTTTGGTATTAGCTGTTGCTATAATTTAGAGTCTTATCTTAAGTCCCAATCACTGCTTCTCACTCACTGAAAAATGTGCACCCAAATAATAACTTTAAAATGGGATTGAATCTAATGGCAGACCTTGAAGTAACCTACAAAATGCTATACATTGTTCATTTATCAGAGATCATTCTGAAGAAGGATGCTTATAAAGATTGCTGAGAGAAGAAAAACCATCTTCCAGCAGGTTCACCTTGGACAAAGGCTCAGTCCTTCAGCCAGTCTCCCTGATTCCTCTTCTTGTTTGGTTTTCTCTAGATTGCTGACACTAATTTTAGCAGGAAATCCTGATAAGCCAGTTTGGTAACAAGGCCCCATCCTATATATCCAATCAAGTTCATCTACTTTCACCCCTGGCATCTAATCAAGCTCTGCTTCCTCTTCACCCTTGAGATTAACCACATTACTCCTACTAATTTTCTATCCACTAACTCTCTCATCTGCCCCTTTGGCTGTTGTATTGAAAGTTAAGTTCAATAGTCTCTCCCCTATTGCAATAATCTTCAAAAAAATCTGTCTTACTACTTTTAACAAGTTATTGGTAAATAGATTTTCAACACCTTAACATCACAAAAAAATGTCAAAAATCCCAGAATGGACAATGAGGAACATGGAAAAATGCTGAGAATTTAATGTCAGGGTCATCCCTATTGCTAATTACAGTAGGTGTTGATTCACCCCTGAACTCTTCACAGGGAAATTCGTCTTGAATTATGAGGTTTTGGACTATGGAAGGAATCAGAACTGCATCCCTTGCTTACCATATAATTGTCTAACACAAATATAGGAAATAATCTGAAAGAAGATGTGCCAGAATTTTTGGCGGTGCCTTTCTAGATACCTGTTTTGACAATGCAATCTGTTCTTCCTATCTGAAGATTCCATACATGCAAATTCTCCTACTAGCTAAAATGTATTGATCCTTGTAATCAATGCTTTGTGACCACATATGCAGCAAGGGAAAAAATTTGAGTCACCAGATGTGCATGTTCACAGCTGAGGTTGAACAAGGCGATAATCTACCCTCTGGTTTCAGCTTTCATACTAATAGCAAGTGTTCTGCTTTCCATATATTTAGTGTGACATTCTTTACAATTCTGTGCTTTTTCTTGGTGTTTTTCCATTTAAAATGATCTCCAAAAATGTAGTGCAGAAGTGCTGTCTAGGGTTCCTAAGCAGACTGTGATGTGCCTCATGTAGAAATATGTGTTACACAAACTTCCTTTGGGCATGAATTATAGTGTGAGTGGCTGTAGATTTAATGATTAACATTAAATACATATTAATCATTCAATACATATTACATAAGGTGTCTTTTAAAACAACACACAAAATGGTCATGTATTGAAAAAAATATATACTCTTGATTACTCTCCAGGAACCTAACCCTGTGTTTTCCCTATGAGGTCTGGTATAGTGTTCACTAATTCAGAATTCATGGCAATTTTTTTAGGACATAATTAATCATTAGAATTGCCTTATGTAATAATTATTACTTATGTAATAAAAGAGCATTATTTCTGAAAATCAGGTTGTATGTTGTTTTAGTCAGCTTTTTGGCTGCTGTGATTTAAGGACCCAACCAGAACAATTGTGGAGGAGGAAAAGTTTATTTAAGGGCTCTTGGTTTGGGAAGTCTTAGCCCATAGAAGTCTGGCTCCATTTCTTTGGGCTTGAGATGAGGCTGAACATCATTGTGGGAGTGTGGCTGAGGGAAGCAAAAAGAGACAGACTCCACTCTCCAGATACAAAATATATACCCCATAGCCACGCCTGCCTTGAACCACTTCCTCCAGCCACACCCCACCTGCCTCCAGTCCCACTCAGTTAATCCCATCAAGGATTAATTCACTGATTGTGTTGAGACTCTCACAATCCAATCATTTCTCCTCTGAACCTTCTTGCATTGTCTCACATGTGACCTTCTGGGGGACATCTCACATCTGAACCATAACATGTAGCGGCACAGGTCCACCTGAAGATGGAATCCAGAGGAAAGAAGATGGTTGTGGACTGAGCCTAGGTAGAATGTTCAACCTCAGCCTTCCTCAGAGGTCGGAGCTGTTACAGTCATCCCTCAGCTGGGAAGTGAGGCTCAGGGGTGGAACTTGTCTCTGTCAAATGACCAGGCAGAACCTGGACCAGTGTTTGTCATTGAAGTTGGAATGGACCATGATTATAAATGCATGCTTCTAGTGCATTTTATCAGTGTAGAAAATTAAATAAAGAGATGTTGTGCTGTCTTCTGTTGAGTAGCTGGCAAAGAATAGAATGAGCTACAGGACCCAAAGCCTATGTCCTGTCCGCCTCATCCACTCACAAAAGGAAAGGAGAACTGACTCTGTACTTGGGTGGCCTCCAGGGTATCGGGTCACTGCCCATGTACTTCTAACAGCTGACTTGGAATTGCCCTCCTCCAGTCCAGAGGCTGTTATGTTTTGTCAGCTGATTTCTTCTCTCTCTTTGCAGTTAGTTCCACCTCTGAAAGAGCTCAGTCACCATGAATGTAAGTGAATTCCGGAGGAGAGGGAAAGAGATGGTGGATTACGTGGCTGACTACTTGGAAGGCATCGAGGGGCGCCCCGTCTACCCTAATGTGGAGCCTGGCTACCTGCGGCCCCTGATCCCTACTGAGGCTCCCCAGGAGCCAGAAGCATTTGAGGACGTTATCAATGACATTGAAAAGATAATCATGCCAGGGGTAAGTGTATATCTAAAGTCAGAGAAGAGGAAAGCTAGTGCTAATGTAGCACCTACTGGACGCTGTGCAATTCACATATATTATTTCCAAGAATTCTCAGAACAGGTTAGAGAAAAATTTCTATCATTTTTATCTTATATCAGAGGCAACTGAATCTCAAGAGATTAGGTGCTCCACTTAAGTTCACACATCTAGTAAATGGTGGAGCTTGGGTGCCAATCCAGATCATGCAGACTCCAAGTATCACAAGTGGGCTATCTTCTGAGGCTCAGTCCCTGCCGCAAGACACTTGGTACCTGCAGTGTGTTATCATATGCTGGTAAGAGGAAACAAGTCCCTGATTTACTGATTGCAACTAATTAATTGCCGTAAACAAAGCATACTCCTATCATTGTTGTGCTCACCAAATGATAGATCATATGGATAGAGAAAAAAATTTGTTCATTTTGTTTGAGTGGGCAACATGACACTGCTTCACCCCAGAGAGTGCAGATCAGCCCAGCCCCAAAGAAGCAGGACCTGTTGCCATCTCTGATACCCAGTGAGGGGAGCAGAGGGTTGGCATGAGACCTCATTTCAGATCTGTGTTCCTACAGTATGATTTTCCCCATCAAGGAATTCATCTCAAAGCCCTTGAATTACTGTGGCTCTCTGAATAGGCCGGCCTCCCCCTGGCACATGGATGAGGATGGTCAAACCTGTCATCCTGTGTGGCTACTTTAATTTCCACAAACAATATGCAAAGTCCTAGTCTGGCACTGGTGGCGTTGGCAGATGGATCCCAACCCTCTGCGCTTCTGTGGTTGCAAGATCAATAAAAAGCAAATGTATTAGACACAGAGCAGGAGGAATCTAGGATCATTGAGATTCAGTCCCTCAGATCAGACAGAATGCAGAGGCCCTGAGGTGGACCCAGGTCCAGGGCCTGGGGGCTGAGACTTAGGTCCTCAACTTCAGAGACAGTTCCTCGAAACAGGGCACTTCTTATGGCACCCTCCTTTCATAATACATAAAACCCAGACAGAGGAGTGTGGGAGGGGGACATTAAAGTCCTCCTGCTTGACTAGACAGGAGTATTTACTGCTCAGAGCAAAGCTGGGAAACACATGGCTGTGGGGCTGGGTCCCTGGGGGTAGTTCCAGGCCTCCCTGTTGCAGGTCTGTGGTTGCAGGGAAAGTAGGTGAGTGCTCTGCTCTAAGTAGAGAGTGAGATTGGGACCATCAGCCCAATGTGGTTGTGATTCTTAGCAGAGAGTGAAGCAAAAAAGTACATGTCCCAGTCAGGAACGACTCTTGCCTTCCCCAGGTTTCCAGAAGCAGGTAAGGGGGGAATAGAGCTGGAAGCAGTGTGGGGCTTCTTGTTCCCTGAAGGGAGGCTAAGACCCCAGGCCACAGTCTTACTGCCATGGGCCCTGGGCACTTGTACCTTTTTAGGCTCCTTTCTTCATAGAAATATGCAAAATTAAGCTGAATATATTAGTGTTATAGGTACATTTTTCCCCTTTTGACTAGCAAGTTCACATTTTTTTCTGATCTTAAAAGAAAGCATGTCCTGGCCCCTAAATCTTTTGTGGACCCCCAGTCTGCTGTAATGAATGCAGCATTTCACCTGTGCAGCTCCTCATGGCTCTAAGATTCACTGTCACCTTCCACATTAGAACCTCAGCCCAAATGCACTAAGCATCTTCCCCTCCCTCTCTCCCTTCATGGATCCCTAGTCCTGGCTGACTTGGAAGTGTCCATAGTTTCAGTGGGACCTATGGAACACTCTCAGCTCTTGGTGAGCTTTCTTAGTCAACTACCTTCCCAATCAAGATTTCTCATGCCACATCTTGGACATTATATACTTAATAACTAGTTTCATGGAGAAAATTAATATTTGCATCTTTGTCCAGACTGTATGAAATGATGTCTCAGTCAGGTTTCTGTCACTATAACAAACACCTGAGATAATCATTTTATAAAGAGAAAAGGTTTGTTTTACATCACAGCCTCATATGTTTCAATTCACGGTCAGTTGGTCCTATTGCTTTAGGTCTGTGGTGAAGTAGCACATCACGTGGGGGAGCACATGGTGGAGCAAAAAACCACTCATCTCATGGCTGAAAGAGAAAACAGGAAGGGACCAAGGTCCCACACTCCCCTTCATGGGCATAACTTCAATGACCTAAAGACTTCCTTCTAGGCCCTACCTCCTAAGGGCTCCACCACCTTCCAATAGCACCACCCTGGGGAGTGAGCTGCTAACACAGGAGCCTTTGGGGAAAACTTAAGAACCAAACTCTAGCAGCGGGTCAGAACAAAGGCTGTGCCTACTTAGGTGGCTTCAACGACATTGATTTCTCACAGCTCTAGAGGCTGGAAGCCTGAGATCAAGGTGTTAGGTTCTGGGAGGCCCTCTTCCTGGGTAACAGAAGACTTCGGATATTCTCACATGGAGGAAGAGAGCTAACTCTCTGGTCTCTTCTCAGAAAAGCCCTAATCCTGTCAGGAGGACTCACTGCCATCATTTGATGGGTTGGAGTTTCAACCTGTGAATTTGGTGTGGGGGGGGGGGAGGGGGGAGAAACATTCAATCCATGGCCACCAATGTTGGCTTGAGGTGGCTTCCTTGCTACTCTGGCTCCCAGCACCCCTGGGCCCCTAAGGGTGACTGTCAGTTTATGGACCTCCTCCTCTTGTCCACCTTGAGCTTTTCCTCTGTGCCTAATTCAGGTGTGGCACAGAGCAGGTGTTTCCTTGGACTCGGATGGAGGAAGGCAGGCAGCTGGGGTTCAGTGGCCAGTCTGAGGGACGGAGGGGGCAGGGAGTATGCCAGAGGGATGCTTGGCAGGAGGGACTGGTTTGTACAGGAGAGAGTTAGGAGGCGGCCGTGAGACAAGATGTGTGTTTGGTATCTGACCGAAGAAACCTGAAAAATCAGAAATTAAAAAAAAAAAGAGAGAGAGATTTAGATTTGATTTTTTAGAGCCCTCAAGAGAACAGTGCCTTCTCTGACCAGACACCCTGCTAAGAACTTAAAACACAATGCCATTTTTAGAGACTTCACTTGTTATGGCTGGTTCATTTTAACCAGTGATAATGATGTTCCATTTTTACTTTAAGGATATAGTATTTCCTTCTAACCTAGCAAATATATACAAATATAAAATAAAAAGAGTTCCTTTACTGTAGTATCAGGTGAAACGTAGATGCTACAAAATGTTTGGAGGAAGGTCTTAGGATGACTGAAATTGAAGACATGCATCCAAGCCAAGCTCAGATGCTCCACCAGCCAGGAGCACAGAGGGTACCTGAGTCCCTGCTCCTGGTGTGGCCTGCTTCCCCTCTCCCCTGAGTAATTGCTCCGCCTTTCCACAGGTGACCCACTGGCACAGCCCCTATTTCTTCGCCTACTTCCCCACGGCCAGCTCGTACCCATCCATGCTCGCAGACATGCTGTGTGGAGCCGTCGGCTGCATAGGCTTCTCTTGGGTGAGTGTCCTAGTGATCCTCGGGGGGCAGTCCCTGTATAGGGAGATGGCCTCTGTATACACAGGACATGAGCAGATGGCTGTGCTGCCTGTGGGCTGCAGGTCATTTTGCAGGGAGGAGGAAAGGATTAGCTCCAAGAGGGTGCCTTTAAAGGAGGGAGATTTCCAATGGGGAGAAGTTGACAGAGAAGCAAGAGTGCTTTATGGAAAGGTCTCCACAACCTGAGGTCAATCCTACACACTGATGTTTTTTATAAGCATTTAGTTTAAATTAAAACCACAGCCCAAGGCTGGGAATCTGCATTTCCCTAAAACAGACAAGAGGATTTCTACACATTCCAACGTTTGAGACCGATACTGCCCCTGTCTCATTCCATCTGCCTTTCCCCAGGGCTACTGCCCCAAGAAAGGCCCCAGCCCAGCAGATGGGCCCAGTGTGCAGTGTGCGGGTGTCTGGAAATGGGCCCATTGCCTGCATGATGGCCACTAGTCTCATCTATCTGGCATAAGATGCCTAGAAAGTTCCTTGCTCAGAAAGCAGTAAGCCTGGCTCTTCCTGTGGTTCTCTGCACCAGCACAGAGCTTCAGGGAAGATTCTTTTCAAAATTCAGAGAGGTCAGAAGCAAAAATTCCTGCTGACCATCACTGGGCCCAGGGATGCCCATGCTGTGAGGAGTTCTACCAAACTTGGAGTCTGTCTCGGACCTTCTAAGTCTAGAGTGTTCTCCTGATCTGTGCCTGGGAGTGGATGGCCTTCTGTATATTAACTCATGTTGAGGGCCTGGGATACTGAAAGGAGAGGCTGATTTTTTTTTTTTTTCAATTCACAGCACCAAGAAGCAGGGCTCAGCTCAGCTGGTGGCTTTATCTACTCAGCACCAATTGTTCTTTCGACTAGAGGTCAGCAGGTGCTGGTGCTGGGTCAGCAGGTGCTGGGCCAACAGGAAGGGCTGATGAGGTTCATCCAGTTCCTACCACAGCTGACTGCATTGCTCCTCTTTTGAGAACCCGGGCTGCCTTCCTTGTGAGTCATAGCTGGCCCCGGGCACTAGCAGTGTAACCAGGCCTGGCACAGCCTCTTCGAAAGAACATTTTCTTTTCATTAGATAGTGTAGCAAGTTTTGTGTGCTTCTGCTAGTCCCAAGCTTTCTGTTCCTCCAGGGCGACTTGGCACATCAATCTCCAATTATATCTGTTCTTTCTAGGATAGTCTGATTCTCTTGGGCCTTTGAAGGGGTACATCCCTGTCTTGGAGGCTGTGTTGCCTGAAAGCTATAGTTCCTAGCAGGGAGTATATCTTCCTATGCCTGAATCTAAATTAAGTCAGGATGGGGTATAACCTACCAGGATGGAGCTGACCTGACCAGCAGGGAGAAGGACCTCACTTCTTTTTATGCAACGCATCATCATGCTGATGTACACAGGGAGACATGAGAACACCCTTAGCACCACATTTGGGTCCTTTACGTGGAGCCTTAGATGAAGATGGAGGCTTAATCCATCTTTGGATGGGAACAAGGCCCACCTGCCACCTCCTGTTTGCAATAAGGGAGAGTCCATAGGCCCAGGTCATCAGGAGCTTAAAATACAAGATCAATGGCTTATCCAGGGATGTCCAGTGGATAAAAGCAGCCCAGCACCCACTTCCTTAACTCCATCCTAAACTCTTTCTATTCTCTTGTGACCATGGAGGACGGCCCACCAGTGGGTCTTTCTAGATCCTTCTATAAGCAATGAATACTGAGCAAGTATGCAGTGCCCATGGAGTGAAGCACACTGGAGTAAGGTTCACGGTGGTACCCATGCACTTTTTCCCAGCCTTGCATGGTTCTTAGTTAAGTAGCACATATTTGAGACTTGTTTCAGCTATTTAATGATATCTGAAATTGGGTGATTTTTATCTAGGTGTGATTTATCAGGGTGATTTTTATCAGCAGGTGTTTAATTCCTTCTGCTCCTCCCAAAATTATGTGGCATCTGGCCTCCTTGCTCTGGCAAATGGCCCCTAGACAATCCATGATTGTGTGTGTGTGTGTGTGTGTGTGTTCGAGGTGACATCTCTAGGCACAGTTCAGGGATCACCTCATGTGACCCAAGTCTGTGATGGAGAAATGATAAGGATGGTGAGTTCACCATGTCAGGAAGGGCCACTGAGACATGCAGAGACTTGCACATAGGAAGCACATCACTTCTAGTGGCAGATCTAGGAATTTTTCCAAGTGAAGGACAGGGAGGCAAACTCCCCTTTATGAAGGTCTCAGCACGGTTGCTCAGAATAGTCCTTTAGTTATATATTAGTCTGGGAGAGACGTGGAACCCTACTGCCAGCCCTCCCATGGAGTAAGGTACTGTAAGTAGGCTGCTGGTTCTCTGAAACTAAGAAGGGAAAGCATACCCTTGTCTTTGTCCATTTTCTGATACTATAGCAGAATGTAAGAGACTGGGTAATTTGTAGACAATTGAAATTCATTTGGCTTAGAGTTCTGTAGGCTGGGAAGTCCAAGAACTTGGTGTGGTATCTGGCCTTTTTGCTGCATCATAACATGGTGGAGGAGCAAGTGAGCATGCCTGAGACAGACTGGACATCCGGCTACACTCCTCCCTTTTAAAACTAATGCACTCCTGTAATAGCAGCCTAATTCATTCATGAGGGTTATGCCCCCATGACCTCATCACTCTTAAAGGCCCCAACTCTTGATACTCTCACATAGGGAGTTCCATTTTATGCAATTTGGGGAAACATATTCAGATCATAGCAAGCATACGACTAATTCCTACCCAGGAGTGGATGTTTTAAATAATTTTAAAACTTTTTTAAAAAATAGGGCTGGGGATATAGCTCAGTTGGTAGAGTGTTTGCCTTGCATGCACAAGGCCCTGGGTTCAATCCCCAGCACCACAGAAAGAAAGAAAGAAAGAAAGAAAGAAAGAAAGAAAGAAAGAAAGAAAGAAAGAAAGAAAGAAAAGAAAAGAAAAGAAAGAAAACAGATTGAAATAAGTTACCCTTTGTCTTTCCCTTGTATTCCAAGCAGACAAGAAGCAGAGGGCAGCTGCCCTTGGTTTATCCCTTCTCTCTCACCCACAGGCAGCGAGTCCAGCATGCACAGAACTGGAGACAGTGATGATGGACTGGCTTGGAAAGATGCTGCAGCTGCCAGAGGAGTTTTTGGCTGGAAAAGCTGGAGAAGGGGGAGGAGTGATCCAGGTAAGACAGGGTAAGGTGGGGAGGGCAGCTTGATGGGATTCATGGGTTCCACAATGGCCACAAATGTGGGTGGAAAAGGGGGCGTGTGCACAGCTTTCTGCTGTGTCCTCTTTATTTCTTCCAGAGAATAAACAAAGCTGAGCTCTGAGGAAAATCCAGGTCCTGGAGAAGGCAGGATCTGGATTTGGATTCCAAGCTGTCTGTCACTAGCTTTAGGCAGGACACTGACTTCCCCAGGCTCCCAGTCATGGTTGGTAGCATAGTGGCTAATACATAGCATAGCGGAGCAGGTGCACAGAAATAGAAACAACCAAATTTATGTTGGTTTTTCCATTGCCTAGATCCCGGCCATGTAAGCTCTATCACATAGTCATTCCCAACAGATATATGTCCAGTGTTAATAATCCTTTAATTTTCATAACAGCACAATGAATTAGGGAGCCCTATTTTACAGAAGACGAAACTGAGGCACAGAACATCAGTTAACTTCCCTTTCGCTCCAGGTGGTAATTTATAGGCCATATCTTTGTGACACAGAGACTATAATCTCACCACCACCACCACAGGACCCTGTTCCCACCTTAAGTGATAGTTGTGGCTGCATTTCAGTGAAGATAAATGTCACTTATCTATGAACCAATTGTTCACCTAAAGATGCTGCTGTTTCTATGCATACATTTAATTCATTCTCTTCACTTAATATGTATCCTAACTAAACTAGGAGGCAATCTCCAGTACTGAGACTACTCAACAGGACTAGGGGTTTTAAACCCACATCTATTAGGTTTCTATTGCTGCCTAACACATTACCACCCGCATAACACATGTTAGTGAATTCAAACAAATTTATTATTATCTTACAGTTCTGCTACTCAGAAGTCTGACCTGGGTCTTATAGGGTAAAATCAAGGTTGACACTTTGGAGGTCCAAGGGAAGAATCCATTTCCTCACCTTTCCCATCTTTGAGAGACTTCTGGAAATCCTTGTCCCATGCCCACACCTCCATCTGCAAAGCCACTATGCTACTGCTCTCTAACCTTTCTTTCATGGTCACTTTTTCTTACCACAAATGAGAAAGTGGGTCAAAACACCCATGTGATTGGATTGGGTCCACTCAATAATCTAAGATAATCTCCCCAAGTCAAGGTTCTTAACTTAATCACATCAGCAAAGTCACTTTTCCCTGTGAGGCAAATAGTCACAGGTTTGGGGGACTGACACCTGAAATCTTTGGGGATGGGAAATACATTATCTCAGTAGCCAGTATGAGCTATGGGAGAACGTGTGTACACGTTCAAATTCAACAGGTCTTTGATGGGTGCAGCCCTGTGAATTCTAATTCCTTCTGATGCAAAATGAGCAGGTCACACCAGTGATGGATGGCTTACTTCTCTGTGACCACCTGACCATGGACACACTCAAAACTGTTCCCTCTGTGAGCTCATCTCACCCCACACATTCTCTGGTTACCTCACTCTAGCATATATAAGTCATTCTGAATGGGAAGATGATGAAAATGAAATATTAGCTATATTGTAAGCTTTTATAGGATGGTGTGAACCCCACTTTTAAATACAACAGTGACAACATTCTTGCAAATTCAAAATACCTCAGCTCCCCAAGACAGGTTTCTTCTTATCAGAGATAATGAGGCCACTCCCATACTCTCTGGTCAAGGTCAAAGAAAAGACACCATGTATGGGCTGGGGTTGTGGCTCAGTGATTCAGTACAGCGCTTGCCTAGCATATGTGAGGCACTGGGTTCGATTCTCAGCCCTGCATATATATCGATAAAATAAAGGTCCATTGACAACTAAAAAAATATTTTAAAAATAATAATAAAAGACATCATGTCACAGGTGCCCTTTGGTCTTGTGGGCAGGCTGCTGCTCCTGGGCCCCACAATGGCTGGTCAGTTTCATTTCCCCGGGGTGAAGTGCAGACGGGTTTCTCATTTCTGGTATTTGAGTCCTGATTCTCCATAGGATGCTGTTTGTCCTCCTTGTCAAAAAAGAGCAAATCTGAGTGTTCAGAGACAGAAAAAAAGGTAGCTATGATCAGGATGGGAGTGGTGCAGAGGAACTGCCCACAGGGGCCCTGGGTTTGGCTCTAGTTGACCCAATCCCAACCTGGTCTCACCCTTCACAACAGGCTTGATGCTGGAGGCAGACTCACTTTTTATTGTATTCCCATACATTTTGCCAAGATCTACTTTTCCATTAGTTCATTCACTTGGGCCCCTTAGCATTTGGTAACTCCTACTAATCCAAGACTCAACTTACATTAGAAGATTTTTCTTCTAATGTATCTTAGTTAATGTTTTAAGTCACTTCTACTCTGTTTTTCACATGCTTCAATTTCTACATAGTGGAAAATTCTTCTTCCATAATTTCTGTCTTTAAATAATTTCCTTTGTTTTTGTCATTTTCTTCTGCATATTTTAGGGAGAATTAGAAAGGGGGAAATTAGACATTCATTGTAAAAATAAATGAATACAGTAACCATTTTGGGGCATGATTCCCCTCAGAGTTATTAGTGTTTTTTTAATACCTACATAGCTACACACACACACACACACACACAAACATACATTTGCAACAAAACTGAGGTAATACAATACAAATATGCTTTCTGTATGATGTTCCATTTTATATTAATTGTGAGCGTTTTCCATTTTTAAAATATTCTCTAAGAACGTTTTTATGCATGATTTCCTATGATGTGACAAAATTTATATAACTAATACCTTATATATATTTATTTTAATTTTTATTCTTAAAAATAACATTTCAAATGATATCCTATAGGGTGGGGTATGATAGTCTTATTGGTTTCCTCTTGGAGGCTCCTAGTTGTAGTCCATGTGAAACATTCACGCCGTTCCCAAACTTAAAGGAGCACTACCCCAACAACAAGAGAACTTTTCTGGGCTATTGGATCCTGTTCTTGTTGTTGTTTATTTTTAATTTTTTTTGTGTGTGTGTGGTGTTGGCAATCGAACCCAGGGCCTTGCATATACTAGATAAGTGATTTACCACTGAGTTACATCCCCAGCTCCTCAATGGATCTTATAATAAAAACACTTTTATGTTTATATCTTTTCCAGCACCCCAAGATAAGTCTTATGATTTGATACATCTCAAAGAAGTTAAAAATACCCCATAATCTGAAGTGTGTCTACTATAATAATAGCTACATTTATTGAACACCAGCTACAAACTTGGTTATGTTTTAGCCTATTTCTTATACTTTGTTATCACTTTTTATCCTCAAAATAGTTAGTGGATTGATTGCATTATCAAGAATCTTTTGCATAATTAAGGAAATTGAGGCCCAGAGTTGTAGTGTAGTATGCATGTTCCAAGAGCAAAAGCTATTTAAAGACAAAGCTATTACGGTGGATCCCTGATCATTTGTTAGGGCTAGTAACCAGAGGTGTACATGCTATCATGGGTTAAAATATCTTTTTATTAAAGATGATCCCATTTTTGAAGCAAAAAAAGGGGGGAGAGATTCTAACATGTGGTTAGGAATAGTCCTGGTATCTCAGCTCAGGCTTCAACACAATCCCTCTGTGCCCATCCCACTCAGTTTTGCTGGAAAAAAGCAGACTGCCAGACCCGTGTTTGTGGCAGGAAGCTTGCCTTTCCCAGATGACAAGGCTGATTGACTGTAATTTGCAAGACCCCAAAGAGCACCGAGGCTTTGGGTAACAGCCGGTGAGCCAGCCTGCCGCATCGATTCCCTAAGAGCTATAATCACAGCTACTGGGCATCTGCACAGTGATGGGCTTCTGAGCCAAGTGGCAAAGCATCATTGTGAAGCTGAACAAATGTCACCTGGAAGAATGGTCTCCAAATTAGCTTAAAAGCTCTCATGGAAGAAAGCTCCCAATTTCTTGCCCCGTATGGGGCAACACTTGAAAAAAAAAAAAAAACAGAAGATGAAAAGGCAGTTCTGCTCATGACATCAGCAGCCCCAGCATCAGCTCTTGCCACCATTCCCTCCTGTATCCTGAGCAGGCTCACCATGGCAACCGTGGTCTACCGGAAGCAAAGCCATCAGGCACCCTCACTGCTCTCTTACCAAAGAACAGTCGCCCTCCCTACTCTTAACTCAGCAAAGCTCTGCTTCCAGCAAAAGACAGAGATCCACTTGCCTTCCTGCTCAAATCTGCCAAAACCTGCTGGTTGCACTGGACCTGTTGTGGTCTGGATGCCATACCAACAATTGGTTTCATTGAGTGTTGTTGTTGTTTTCATTGTTTTGTTACCTAAAGGAGGAGAATTTTTTCTCAGGACCTGGAAAGTGCCCCCCTCCCAGCCCATGATGAATCAGCATGGTGACTCAAAGCCTTTCATTAGATCAGAGAATGAACATTTGGAATACAAAGCTTCAAGCAACTTAGAATTTAGATAAGAAAGTTGCAATCATAGCTCAGTTTAAGGGAAACTGGTCTTCCTGGGCCAGCCGTTTCATCTTCCTCAGGTGCATTTCTTTCATATGTTCTAAAACCATGTTTAAAATAATTTCTCATCAAAATACAGCTTGAAGACCCATTTTAGATGTTGAATTAAGAGGATTCTCTTCTGTATATTTGAGCTCAAGCATTGGAGCTACAGAAACATGAATAAATGAATTTATCTTCAAATCTTATCCATCTCTCTAAGGGATATAAGTTGGTTCAAAGAATAAGTAAAAGCAGTGGAATGGGAAAATCAAAATGGAAAAACAGGCTCCATGAAAGGAGGATAAAATGTTAATAAGAGATGTGGACATTTCTATGTAATTGTTCCATTGTATTTTTCTCTGTATAACGCTGTAACTTTGTAAACCTCCTTCATAGTCAGAAAAAAAAAAAAAAAACTACCTTCTTTTATTTGTCATTTCTAATGTTAGTACTGGCCAGCGGGTGGTTGTCTTCTGGGACTGGCTGAAGAGGAAAGTGCACACAAATGCAGGGAGGCTGGAGCCATCCCTGAAAGGCCAGATGTGTGTCCACTGTTGACCATGCCACTCCCTAGCTACTGATTTGAGGGAAGTTGTGTAATGTCTCTGAGCATCAGTTTTCCAGTCTGTACGTGCCAACGTTTAAAAATGAGCTTTTGCAAATTAAATGGGATAACGCCATAGACACTGAATCCATATCATGCACCACTGTTAACTTCAAAGGAGGAATTTTGAATAGTTCTTTACTACTTTTTGCTAAAATAAGTTGTTGAAATTAGTTGTATTAGTTTGTCAGGGCTGCCTTAAAAAAAAACAAAAAAAACCAGAAATTCATTGTCTCAGAGTTCTGGAGGCTGAAAGTCCAAGATCAAGGCATTAACAGGTTCTATTTCTGCTGAGGCCTCTCCTTGGCTTGCACCTGGCTGCCTCCTTGCAGTGTTCACGTGGTTTTTCCTGTGTATGTGTGCATGAATCTGGTGGCTAATTTCTTCCTCTTATTGAGATACCAGTCAATTTAGACTAGTGTCCACACTAAATACCCCCTTTTAACCTAGATCCTATTAAAGATCCTATTTCTAAATAGCTACATTTTGAGATATTGAGGTTTAGGGCTTCAACATATGAATTTGGGGGCAGGGCACAATTCAGCATGTAAATTCGGGATTAAAATAAGTACTATAAGGCCATCTCAGCATATCAAGGAAAATGTACCTGTATTTTATATACAAATTGCTCTGTCTGAGGGTATATGAATACATAGGTGCCTTGGACCAGTCTCCTTTGCTGGAGATATGAACAGTATATCCCTGGCCAGGCTTGAGGTGCCCACAGGAGAATGCCTGCATGGCCAGTTTAACAATGCAATGTGTGGCACATGCTTAGTGTTTGCAACTGTTGGCTACTGCTGATACGGGGGATAGACAAAGCAATGCTAAACTCACTATATGAACTAAAGAGGCCTCCACAGGTGTTAGATTGTTCCTTTGCAAAAATTAAAAAACAATAGTGAGCTTTGCAATTTCAGGTTTATCTTTTAAGAAAACAATGGATAAACGGTTCAGACACTGATTCTTTGACTGCATTTTGAATTTCATTTGGACCTTTCTCCTGGATTTAGGGGAGTGCCAGTGAAGCCACCCTGGTTGCCCTGCTGGCTGCTCGGACAAAAGTGACCCGGCGGCTCCAGGCAGCATCTCCAGAGTTGTCGCAGGCCGCCATCATGGAAAAGCTGGTAGCCTACTTCTCTGATCAGGTGAGTAAGTGCGTGTGTTGGGAGGTATTGGGCTATAGCCCCACAGACATTCAAGGTCTGAATCCAAACAAACGTTACTATCGTTTCAAATCCAAGAACAGTTCCTCACAGATCACTAGGACAGAGACTTATACTAATTCTCAGGTGGGAACTTGAGAGATCAAGTTGAAAAGAAAATGTATGTACTGAGAACTCCCCAATGCTGACTTGTTACCATATGTAGCAGCATGGACTTAGATTACACTCATCTGACCCACCTTCAGAGCAGCATTGTGTAGTAATTGGATGTTAGACTCAACAACCTAATCGCAAATCCCAGTTCTGCGTTTTTAAGCTTTGTGATCTCAGGCAAATCACATAAATTGTGAGAGCCTCTCTTTGCCTCCTATCAAACAGGGATCAAAGCATCCATCCTTGGTATAGTTGCTCAGCTCAGCTTGTGGCTGAGCATAAGGGGAAAGATTTAAAGAATTTTGTAAGGTTTAGAAAACTCTGCAAATAGAAATATCTAATCTGATTCCATTGGTCAACCCATTTGAAAATGGTAAACAACAGCAACAAAACAAAGCCCAGAATTATGGGGAAAGGAGCAAGTGGAAAGAGAATTGATCAGCATGAAGAGAATAACTCTATTAGAGAAACTATGATCAAGAGGGCATAAAAAGAATAAAAACTGTGCTACCTTCAAGAAATTAGATTGCACAGGGAATAGCTGACTTAGGTTTGTCAATATTTTTATTTTCAGTGAATTCCTTAAGCCACACATTTGAACTATAACCATTTTTTTCTAGGAAGTACTTAGCCTGAAATAAATACAATACCCATATTTCAGACCTAATTAGGAGGATTATATCTTTGTATCCTAATTCCATCCATTAAGATTCTACTTACATATGAAGAAAATTGTTCATTTGTACTTAGGACTCCCTTGTTTCCCAGAAGACTTAAAAAAATTAACACATAGGCACTCAATAAGTATATACTGATATCCACTGCTATGAATGTTAGGGTTTAGCCTGTCCAGCAGGGCTTCTGTGAAGGAGCTTATCTCACCAGGAAGTGGCTGGGCGAGACAGAATTAGCATCATTCCAGATGCCCAGCATCTCAGGATGCCAAGGACGCTATAGCATCTTTCTATGGATCTCTGTTAGGTTCCCCAGGAACTATACAGGGCTTGTGTCAATTTTTTTTTCTTTTCACTGTTTTTATTCTCATTTTCCATTTTGACATTTTGTAATTCTGTATAAATTAAGTCACCATCACATTTTAAGTATGAGGTCAGCTGAATTAAGAAAACAGAACAAAGAAGCCAGAATGACAATGTTTTTAGAAGGAAATGGCAGTATTCATATCCATAAAAGCTAACTTTAATTGAGTAGCTGAAAGGGGAGTTAGAACACAATGCAAACATGGTGGTTCATGGAGAATTCCCATCTGTATTCTGTGCTGCAGTATCTCATGGGTACATTCATCATTAAGATCTAAATTAGGAATAAAAGTAATAAAACAAATGAGAGACCTAAACTTTAGTTCAAATAAATGAAAAGCTGTGGGCTGAGATCTACTTTGTTCCCCGAGAAAAAGAAAGATATGAATGAGGATTATTATGAGTTTGGGGGACCCAATGATCACAAGTCAGCTGTAGGAATGCACTCTGTAGCAGCATATGTTGTTGTATCAACGCCCTCAGCAGAAAGTTCCTGCTTGTGTGGAGGTACTGCTTGGACCAAGCTGGTGTACATCTTCTGCAAAAACTGTGCTAACCGTGAAGCAGGCATATAGTCATCTGTGGCCTTGTCTTCCCCGCTTTTTAAAAATTCACTTTAGTTTTACATAACTATACATAGTTATACAAGCATGAAATATAATTTGCTCTAATTCAGTATGCAGTAATTCCCCTTCCTCATCCCACCTCTCTCCCCCTGCCTTCCCTTTCTCTATGCTACTGATCTTTCTGCTATTTATTTATAGTTTTGTTTTAAACTAGTGCCTTGTAGATATACATAAGGTGAGATTCATTGTGGTATATTCATATATGTACATAGGTAACTTAGGTCAGATTCACAGTTCTTCCCTTATTCATTCCTTCTCCCTACCCCCAACCCCTTTCTCTACTCCACTGATCTCTATTCTATTTGATTGACACTCCCCCTCCCCACCTAGCTTCTGCATATCAGAGAAACATTCAACCTTTGACCTTCTGGGTCTGGTTTATTTCACTCAGCATTATGGTCTCTCCAGTTCCACCCATTTACCAGCAAATGGCATAATTGTGTTCTTATTTATGTCTGAGTCATATTTCATTATGTATATACAACACATTTTCTTTCTCCATTCATCTGTTGATGGATTCCTAGTTTGGTTCCATAGCTTGGCTAATGTGAACTGTGCTGCTATATACATTGATGTGTCTGTGTCCCTATAATATGCTTTTTAGATCTCAGGAGTGGAATAGCTAGCTAGGTCATATGGTGGTTTCATTTCTAGTTTTTTGAGGAGTCTCTATATTGCTTTCCAGAGAGGTTGCACTAATTTTTAGTCCCACCAACAATGTATGAGTGCACTCTTTCTCCATTGTCCTCCCTAACATTTATATTATTTGTATTCTTGATAATTGCCATTCTGACTGGAGTGAGATAAAATCTCAATATAATTTTTTTTTTAATTTTTAAAGAGAGAGAGAGAATTTTAATATTTATTTTTTTAGTTTTCGGTGGACACAATATCTTTATTTGTATGTGGTGCTGAGGATAGAACCCAGGCCGCATGCATGCCAGGCAAGCACACTACCGCTTGAGCCACATCCCCAGCCCTCTCAATATACTTTTAATTTGCATTTCCCTGATTGCCAGAGATGTTGAAAATTTTTTTTTTATATATTTACTGGCCATTTGTATTTCTTCTTTTGAAATTTATTCACTGGGCTATTTGGTTTTTTGGTTCTAAGTTTTTTGAGTTCTTTGTATTTTCTGGATATGAATATCCTATTTGAGGAGCAAGTGGCAAAGTTGTCTCATTCTGTGGGCCTCCTCTTCACACTCTTTGTTGTGCAGAAGCTTTTTAGTTTAATGCCATTGAATTTTTATTTTATTTCTTATGCTTTAGAAGTTTTATTAAGGAAGTTGATGCCTGTGACAATATGTTGGAGCGTTGACCTACATTTTCTTCTATCAATTGCAGAATTTCTGGTCTAATTTTTAGGTCTTTGATCCACTTTTGAGTTGGCTTTTGTGCAGGGTGAGAGATATGGATCCAGTTTTATTCTTCTACATATGGATATACTGTTTTCCTAGTACAATTTTTTTAAAGACTATCTTTTCTCAGAGTATATTTTTGGCACTTTAGTGTAGTATGAGATAACCATATTTATATGGGTTTTTCCCTGTGTCTTCTATTCTTTTCCATTAGTCTTCCTGTCTGTTTGGGGGCCAATACCATGTTGTTTTTGTTACTATAGCCCTGTAGTGTAATTTAAGGTATGGTATTATGATGCCTCCAGCATTGCTCTTCTTGCTCAGGATTGCTTTGGTTATACTCTTTTATTCTTCCAACTGAATTTTAGAACTGTTTTTTCTAGTTCTGCAAAGAATGTCATTGGCATTTTGATGGAGGTTGCACTCAATCTGTATAATGCTTTTGGTAATATGTCCACTTTGACAATATTAATTTTGTCTATCCAAGAACATAGATGATGTTTTCATATTCTAAGGTGTTCTTCAATTTATTTCTTCAGTATTCTATAGTTTTCATTGTAGAGGTCTTTCACTTCTTTGTTAGATTAATTCCCAAGTACTTTACTTTTTGAGGTACAGTTTTCCTAATTTGTTTTTCACCAGATTCACTGGAATACAGGAAAATAATTGATTTTTGTATGTTGATCTTGTATCCTGCTACTTTACTAAATTGTTATCAGCTCTAGAAATTTTCTGCTGGAGTTTTAAAAAATATTCTAAATATAAGATTATGTCATCAGCAAGAAGAAAATTTGACCTCATCTTTTCCTATGTGTGTTCATTTAATTTCCTTCTTTTGCATGATGGCTCTGGCTAGAGTTTCAAGGACTCTGTTAAGTAGGAGATGTGAGAGTGTATACCCTTGTCTTGTTCCTATATTTAGAGGAAATATTTTCTGGTTTTTCTCCATCTGGTAAGAAGTTGGCCTTGGGTTTGTCATATATAGCCTTTACAATGTTGAGGTAAGTTCATTTTATCCCTAGTTTCTCTAGTGTTTTAAATATAAATGGATGCTAGACTTTGTCAAATGCTTTTTCTGAATCTTTGAGATAACCATGTGATTATTGTCCTTAACTTCATTTATGTGGTGAATTACATTTATTGATTTTCTCATGTTGAACCAACCATGAAAACCCCAGTGATGAAATCCACTTGACCATGGTGCACTGTCTTTTCAATGTGTTTTTGTATGTGGTTTGCCAATATTAATAAGAATTTTTGCATCTATGTTCAAAGCATATTAGCCTGTAGTTTTCTTTCCTCAATGCATCTTTGTTTGGTTTTGGTATCAGGATGACACTGGCTACATAAAATGAATTTGGCAGTTTTCTCTCCTTTTCTGTTTCATGGAATAATTTGAGAAGGATTGGTATTAGTTCTTCTTTAAAGATTAGGTAGAACTTGGCTGAGAATTTGTTGGGTTCTGGGCTTTTCTTTGTTGGAAAATTTTTAAAAGCTGTCTCAATTTCATTACATAATATTGGTCTGCTTAAGTTTTCTATATTCTCATGGTACAATTTGGGTAGGTCATGTGTCTGTGTCTCTAGGAATTTGTCAATACTTCCAGATTTTTCTAGCTTATTGGAGTATAATTTTTCAAAATAATTTTTAATGATTCTCTGGATTTCAGGTGATATTTCCCTTTTTATATAATTTTGTTAATTTGAGTCTTCTCTTTCTTTTGGTTAGTTAAGTCTATCAATCTTGTTTATCCTTTCAAAAAAGTCAACATTTTGTTTCATTGATCCTGTATAATTTTTTTATTCTTCATTTTATTGATTTCAGCTCTGATTGTAATTATTTTTTATCTTCTACCAATTTGGGTGATAGTTTGTTATTTTCTAGGACCTTGAGGTATAACTAGATTATTCATTTGGTATCTTTCTATTTTTTTAATGTAGAAACTCAGTGCTATAAACTTCCCTTTAAAGAACTGTTTTCACACTGTCCCAGAGATTTTGATATGTTGTATCACTATTTTTTAAGAATTTTTTTCTATAATATCTTATGATACCCATTTCTTATATGTCCACCATTTACTGAGGGACTACTCACTGGAGTGAGGACCTAGAGAAGTGAAGTCAAGTAGGGAGAGGAGAAAACAAGGATATGGTCTCTGGGAAACTCTAGATCAGCCTTGTGCATAGGAAATGCTATAGAGTGTGAACTGTTCCCTTTTTGGGCACAGAACTGAACTGTTCCCTCCCTGGTCAAGTGCCAACTTTTTGTGCGTTGTACAGTTTGTCCTGCAGTGGGTTTGTGGCAAGCTCACCCTGTGAGGAGAGGTGGCTCTCCAAAAGAGGGGACAGCTGATCAGCCAACATCCACTGCAGCTTGGCATGCACAGCTTTGTCAAGGGGACCCTGGAGCATCACACAGGAGGGAGGAGCACATGCAAAGAACTCTCTCTTAGGGACAGCTTAAACTCCTGTTGTCATACTCCTCTCCACTGCCCACACATCCTTCTGTGACTGCCTGCCTCCCATTGTCTCCTCCTGAGTTTAGTCTGCATTGCAGGCCAGCACACACCCCAGAAAGCTTGGGGTCAAGGTTTTGTCATAAGTTAATAAATTCATCACCTCCCTCATCCTCTAAAGGGTAGAATGATGCACAAAGATTATGAAAAGTACAACTTCCTAATGTGTCGCAAGTTTCACAGGTGATTTTTCAAGCCTAGTAAAAGAAGAAGAATCTTAGTTTAATTTTTCTATGCAAGAAACCTGCCTGACACACCTTGTTGTTGTTGATCACAACTATACTTTGAAGTGGGTATTTTCTGTTTCTCATTGTTTCCACAAGATCACAGAGGGTCACTGTGCAGAGTAACCTGGCAAGGGTCCCACCAGAAAGGTCTGGAGCTGGGAGCCCCAGGGGCTCAGAAGCTGAACATTATCTTCTGGAGCTCCTCTGCTAGAAGAGATGTTCAAAGAACAGCCAGGAAGCAGCAGGCCCTACAAAGGATCAAAGCTAGAGACAATGGGTGCTTCAGGGCAGAAGTGGCAGCTTCAGTAAGAATCCACTTTCCTGGGAGTCTCTGAGAAGGGTGGACCCACCATCCAGTGACAGTGCCACATCATTTGCCATTCATCTCAGAAGATTACATGTCCATGGATTCAACAACCACAGATCAAAAATATTTTTTAAAAATTGTGTCTGGATTGAACATTTATGGACATTTTTTCTTGTTATTATTCCCTAAATAATACAGTATGACAACTATTTATATAGCATACCATTTGTATTGCATTAGGTATTATAAGTAATCCAGAGATGATTTAAAATATATGGGAAGATATAAATTGATCATAGGCAGATACTATACCATTGCCATTTTATATAAGGACTTGGGCTTCTGTGGATTTTTGTATCCACAGAAGCCCTGGAACCAGTTTCTCATGGATGCCAATGAATGACTGTAGCATCTATTGACTGAGCTTAGCCACCAAGCTGCGAAAGTCTCCACAGGGAAAGGCAGGGTTTGAATCTGAACCCAAGATTTCTAAGTCCACCCATGAGCATGCTTTCCAGGATCTCACTGCTAACTCTTGAGTTCAAACAAATGAATGAACTTATCACTTTATGGTTCTAAGTGCTTAATTCATTATATTTGTGGTTTAGATCTGAGGTGTCCTCTGAAACCTCACATGAGAGACAATGCAAGAACATTCAGAGGTGAAATGATTAGATTATGAGAGGTATAACCTAATTGGTGAGTTAATCTACTGATAAGAATCAACTGGGTGGTAACTATAGGCAGGTAAGTTGTGACTAGAGGAAGTAGGTCACTGGGGTGTGACTTTGGAGTTTATCTTTTGTCCTTGTGAGTGGAGCTCTCTCTCTTCTTCTTTATCACCACATCCTGAGCTGCTTCCCTCTGCCATGCTTTTGCTCCATGATGTTCTGCCTCACCTACCTTAGGTTCAGAGCTATGGCGTCAGCCAACCATGGACTGAACCTCTGAAACCATGAACCAAAATAATCTTCTTCTACTTTCATTTGTTCTTGTCAGGTATTTTGGTCACAGCAAAGAAAAAAAAGTACTAACTAAAACAAAACTTAAAGAGCAAGGTTCCACATAAATAGAATAACAACTCCAGGAAAAAGAGGTGCCTCTGTGGTGTCAGGTGTCAGGTGTCAGGTACCCACTGCAGAACCAGGAACTTAGCCTGTGTGAGCAAACCTGCACCGATCTAACTCTAATCTTTCTTTCTAGGCACACTCCTCTGTGGAAAGAGCTGGATTAATTGGTGGAGTGCAAATGAAAGCAATCCCTTCTGATGGCAAATTTGCCATGCGTGCTTCTGCCCTGCAGGAGGCCCTGGAACAAGACAAGGCAGCTGGCCTGATCCCATTCTTTGTAAGTCTATCAGTACATGTTGCAGATGGTACCATGGGAGCCTCTCCCCCGCTGCCTAGGGTGTGTGTGTGTGTGTGGGGGGGGTGTATGCAGTGTGTATGCCAGGGTCACTTTCTAGGCTGCTGTGATAGTCACAGGCCAGGCATGAATTTTGTTATCTCCTTGAGGAAAGCTAGAAACTCCATTTTTTTTTTCTTTCCACATGCTTTAATCTCAAAAACAAGTTACTACAACATCCCAATTTGGAGGATTGTACTAAGCCAAGGAGTATAGTTTCTGTTTGTTGTCCAAAGGGACAGCTATCCCTTAGCAGCCCTTTGTGCCATGGTAGATGCTCTAAGCAGTATGATGAGTGAACCAAACTGAAAATGCAAAACAGGCTTTGCTTCGTACATTAGTGGTTCAGAGTAGTTAATAAGATGTGTCATCTGTAAAAGGTTTGTTGCAAGCAGGCAGTGACTAATCCCAGATAAAATATCTAATTAACCAAATGACAGGCTGGTTCTCTTGCTCCCAGATATGCATTTTCCAATGGGGAAGAGTTACTTAGTATTGAAACTGAATTGTGGGAATTGTCACATTCCTGGCATGGTCCCAGCAGTATGTCATACATGGGACTGATACATCTTGTGTGATGCAATCAAAATGTCATGAGTATGGCCATACTTGGGCATTCAACCTGGCCACACATTAGAGTCACCTGGTAAGTTACTAAAAAGTCTAATGCCCAGGAATTCCCCCTGACTGATCTTGCCAGAATCTCTAGGGATGGAAGCAGGCATTGGAAAAATTTTTACAACATTAAGATTCTGATGAGCATATAGGTTTTAGAAACATGCTCATGGGGATACTCCTCAGTGTCAGGATACTCCTCATTTCTTAATCATTAGAGCAATCTACGTTGGATAGATGTTTTATGGGCCACACATTAATAACATTCACCACTTTTCTTTTGAGAATTAATCTTTTTAAATGCTTTCATTTCTCTGAAACGTTTTTTGCCAATTAAAATCAATAATCATTTGGTGAATATCTAACACACGTCTGTACTGAGGAAGTCACAGAAGGTATGATTTTAATATAAGTCTATCCTAATCTAAGGAGCTCACAGGAGAATCTGGAGCATAAACCCATGTTTATAGTGGAAGAATTGGCAAGTTTCAAAGGTAGCCCAGAGAATGAAATGACAATCAAGTGAGTTTGAAGGAGACAGAAATCAAACTGTGGGTACAGATTCAACTTCCACCTTGCCCTAGACATCTTTCTCAGTCCCCTTAACCCTGCTTCATTTTTCCCCATTGCATGCATCACTCCCTGCAATACCCATTTATTTACTGCCTTCTTCCCAACAGAATGTACACAAAGGGAGGGTTCATTTTGATCACTACTTTATCTCCACTGCAGGAATAATACAGAATTGACACCAGGAGAAATTCAATTAATACAGTTGTTCCTTGGTATACACAGGACATCTGCTCTAGGACCCATCACAGATACCCAAACTCTTGGATGCTCATGTCCCTTATATAAAATGACATAGTATTTGCATATAACCCATATACATCTTCCCGCATACTATTTTAAAAAAAAAACATTTATTTTTTAGTTATAGGTAGACACAATACCTTTATTCCATTTTTATATGGTGCTGAGTATGGAACCCAGCAGCCCATGCATGCTAGGCTCTCCCTCTGAGCCACAACCCCAGCCTCATCCTTCCACATACTTTAAATCATCAGTAGATTACTTGTCCTACCTAATGGAAATGATGTAAATAGTTTTTTAAGGAACTATGACAAGAAAAGAAAGTGTGTGTTCAGTACATTAAAAAAACAAAAACAACAACAACAAAAACACATTTTAGAACCATGTTTGGTTGAATCCATGATTGTGGAATCCATGGATATGGAGGGTCAACTCTAGTTGTCAAATATAGAAAGATTTGAAAAGATCATCTTTAAAAATCCCAATTATAAACCGGGCACAGTGGTGCATGCCTGTAATCCCAGCCACTCAGGAGGCTGAAGGAGGAGGATTGCAAGTTCAAAGTCAGCCTCAGCAATAAGCAAGGGGCTAAGCAACTCACTGAGTTGCTTATTAGTGAGTTGCCTCGAAATAAAATACAAAACAGGACTGGGGATGTGGCTTAGTGGTCAAGTGCCCTGAGTTCAATCCCTCATACTCCACTCCCCCAAAATCCCAATTATAGCTGGGTGTGGTGACGCATACCTGTAATCCCAGTAGCTTGGGAGGCTGAGACAGAAGAATCCCAAGTTCAAAGCCAGCCTCAGCAACAGCGAGGCACTAAGTGACTCAGTGAGACCCTGTCACTAAATAAAATACAAAAAAAAAAAAAAAAGGGGGGGCTGGGGATGTGGCTCAGTGGTTGAGTGCTCCTGAATTCAACACCTGATACCAAAAATAAATAAATCCCAATTACAAGTTTAGTGCACTTTTGAAGGATTTTATTTAAATGAAGTAAAATATTTTTAAACCTGTAGTGTCAATTTTAAGTCACTGAAATTTTATATCTAGGGAAAATATATATATTGAAACATACTCCTTCATATTTGAAGAATGAAAGCAATGGAGAATACATCACATAAATGATGAAAATATTTTATAAAAATTACAAAGCTCATAACTAATAGTAAAAGACAAATGTGGGTAGGAACTACTGATAGGACATATTATAAAGTAAATCTTAAAAAAAAGAAGGCTTACATATCAATAAGTAAGGAAGGAACATTTCAATGATAAACATGCAAAATATATATATAAGAAATCAATTCCACATTCAAACACACACACACAAAAAATATAGACACAAAACCATTCTGATCATGCAATAATCAAAGAAATGCAAATTAATTAGTGGTTACAGAGGTGTCAGTTTCTTTTATATCTCTAAACTTTACACAAATTCTAAAGGTCAGTGATGGGGTATATGCAGATTTAGAATCGTCATCTTCTCCAGAGAAATGACTATCTATTCTTAGGAAAGACTAACATCTAACTATCTGGATGGATATACATGTTCATTTCTCTGGGATGAATGCCCAAGATTGTGCAATTAAGGATCATTTTGTAGTTATGTGTTTTAAAGAAACTGATAAAATCTTTACTGGAATGGCTGTACTATTTCACATTTCTTCTAGCAGTGCCTAAAACAATCAAGTGTATTTTTTGTTTTCATTTTCACCCGTGTTTGGTATTATCATTATATTTTTTCATCTTACCTGAATTAATAGGTGTATAGTACTATCTCATCACACTCATAATTTTCATTTTCCTAAAGACTAATGAAGTTGAACATTTTTTTCATCTGCTTATTAACCATTAACACATCCTTTTTTTAGTAAAACATAAATCTATGTCTTTGTCCACATTCCAATTGGATGATGGATTGATTTTTTAAATTAACAGATTTATGTTAGAACAGTTTTAGAACAGTAAGCATAATTAAAGAGAGTTCCAGCACTTACTTAAATGTTTTACAAATACTTCCTCTCAATCTGTGGCTTTTGGTTTCATTTTCTGAGCAATGGTCTTTTGCCAGTCAAAAATTTTCAATTTCACTGATGTTCAGTTTATCAAATTCTTTCATGGATTATGCCTTTATTGTTACATCTAAAAACTTACTGCTGAACCCAAGATCATCTAGATTTTCTCCTGTGCTATCTTCTAGACATTTTGCATTCTATAATTTAAGTCTACTATGTATTTTCAGTTAATTTTTGTGAAAGGTGTAAAGTCTGTGTCTAGATTCTTTTCTCTTTTTTCTGCATTGGGATGTCTAGCTGTTCCAGCATCTGTTGAAAGGCTACTCTTCCTCCACTAAATTGCTTTTGCTCTTTGTCAAATGTTAGTTGACCTCATGTGTAGATCTAATTCTTTTCCATCAATAAGTTTATCTCCTTTCCCAAGATCACACTGTTTTGATTATTTAAGGTTTATACTAAAGTTGGGTAAGGTCAGATATGACCTCAGTCATTAGTCAATATTATGTTCAATATTATGTTCTTTTTAGTCTTTTGAATTTTTATATAAAATTTAGAATCAATTTGCCAATGTGTACCACATAACTCACTGTATTATTAAATATGATTGCAATGAATCTATAGATCTAGTTGGAAGAGCTGACATCTTCATGATATTGAGACTTCCTGTCCATGTACATAGAATCTTTCTGTATTTATTTATCTCTTTTAAAAAGTAGTTGCATCAGAGTTTGTAGTTTTCTTCATGATTATTGTATACATATTTTGGTAGATTTATATGTATTCCTTTTTCCCCTTTCTGTGCTAAATGTAAAGGCAATTATGGTTTTTTAACTTCAAATTCTATTTTTTTTTATTTTTATTGTTGGTTGTTCAAAATATTACATAGTTCTTGATATATCATATTTCACACTTTGATTCAAGTGGGTTATGAACTCCCATTTTTACCCCATATACAGATTGCAGAATCACATCAGTTACACATCCATTGATTTACATATTGCCATACTAGTGTCTGTTGTATTCTGCTGCCTTTCCTATCCTCTACTATCCCCCCTCCCCTCCCCTCCCCTCCCCTCTTCTCTCTCTACCCCCTCTACTATAATTCATTTGTCCCCCTTGTATTATTTTTCCCTTTCCCCTCACTTCCTCTTGTATGTAATTTTGTATAACCCTGAGGGTCTCCTTCCATTTCCATGCAATTTCCCTTCTCTCTCCCTTTCCCTCCCACCTCTCATCCCTGTTTGATGTTAATCTTCTTCTCATGCTCTTCGTCCCTACTCTGTTCTTAGTTACTCTCCTTATATCAAAGAAGACATTTGGTATTTGTTTTTTAGGGATTGGCTAGCTTCACTTAGCATAATCTGCTCTAATGCCATCCATTTCCCTGCAAATTCTATGATTTTGTCATTTTTTAATGCAGAGTAATACTCCATTGTGTATAAATGCCACATTTTTTTTTATCCATTTGTCTATTGAAGGGCATCTAGGTTGGTTCCA